ACCTAGCTATTTGTTATTCATTTTAATATTATTCTATTAGTTTTTAATAGAATATGCAAAGCGTAATAATTAAATTATAAAATAAAAACTAATCTGTCTAAGTATGTTTATTTATGTTAAAAGTCCAAGGAATATATTAATTAAAATATGTTTGTATTTTAGGAAATGAAAGCTATGAAAGTTGCATTACAAAAAGATATTGTGAACTCAAAAAAATATATCAAAGATTTACAAACTTGTCATGGAGAAGTACTGGAATATATTTCAAAGAAAAAAGACGAACGTGTTTATCAAGGTATTAAATTCAATCTTAATAACTTATTTATTTATGATATTGAGTAGGTATAGTGGGATAACATTTGACTTTTGTTTGATATTTTATTTTTAACATAATTTTTGTTAATATAAACCTGATAAATTATATTATAGCGTAAACTTTTTCAAAATGTATTTGTATTTCAATTTTATGTTGGAATTTATTATTGAATTCTGAAGTTAAACCTTAGTCAGTGCAATAATAATGAGTTATTTATTTATTTTCATTGATACACTGATAGTATATTTATATACTATTTCTCATATTAGAGTTACCTCAGGCAGCAGGCTTTTGTTCATGACATAGGTATTTGATGTTGTTAATATACACCAAGTATTGTACTCTTAGAATCCTCACTTTATTATTTCAGCAACTGCCTAGCTCATATATTGATAAGATGTATAAGATGAATATTTTGAAATTTGTGGCTGATTGTTTGAAATATAATCCGGCATTAATAAAAACCCAGTTAATTGAGAGGTGTGTATTGGCCGTATGACCAAACTGCACAAAAATTTGTGGCTGCCTTAGATTACTCTTATATGAGTTAGAGTATAGTATTTTTTCTTATGTTGCCTTGAAACATTTAAATTTGTATGTTAACTTATGTCAGTTACAGACAAATAAACTAAAATTTGTTAATTCATATTTTTTACATTTATATTATTATTTGATATTGTTTAGAAAAAGATATTGAAAACTTACAAAGGGAATTAAATGCGGTCAATAGTTGTATCAATGGTCAACAGATTACTCAAGTCGATAAAAAAAATATTGAAGAAGATATAATTAGTCTGAAACAAGACATACAATATGAAACAAATTGTTTAGAAGAATACTCAAATATAGTGTATTCTGAAGATTTAAATGTTGTTGATGTTAGATTAAAAGTTAGTATTAGTTAGTATTTCTTTAAAAGATCTTTCTCAAAAAGTATTACCTATTTGATAGGTTGTATTTAATTTAACACTCAATTACTAAAGAGCTACTAATTAGTATTACATTCTGTTTTAATTATAGATTATTACTTGCAAATATTTT